TTTGAGCGTCCCTGCTGACATGGCTGACAGTAAATCCAGAAAAGCCTTTCTGACACACAAAATTTATATACAGTATTAATCTTATTTTTAAGACTGAGAAAACATATGGCAAACAAATTTCCACAAAAAATAAATAGTAATAAGAATACTAATTGCACAAAAAAAACGATAAAAAGAAAACCAAAAATAAAGAACTTCAAGGTAAATTCAATAAATTGCTTCGCTGAGCGCAGCTGGATACGACAGCAGAGGTCCAACCCTGAACAGTAGGGGCAAAAATGGACACAATATTCGCGCTTGATACAGGTCAGAATTTGGATTGTAATTAAATATTTGACACATAATAGGTTTCTGACACAGAATAACTTAGGATTGGTTATTTGATTTGAATTTATATTCAATTTTTTGCTTTTGTGCAATACACTATGCTGTTGTGAATTAACCCCCCCCCCCCCCCCCCCCCTCAAAAAAAAAAAATACCCCCTTTTTTTTTGCTTTTGTGCAATACACTATGCTGAACCACCCCCCCCCCCCCCCCCCCTTTTTTTATTGGCAAAAAAAAATATTTGAAGAAATTTTCTTCTTTTTAATTTCTGAAATCTGAAACGAGAAATAAATGTCCCCCCTCACAATTTCTTTTTTACCCCCCCCCCCCAAAAAAAAATTCTTTCCCTCAAGATATGGTTATAATCTCAATTCAAATTTCCAATGGAGTTTGCAACCATAATTACCCATTTAAATACATCATAAAAGTCTTAAAATAGAAAATGACATACATAATAATGGCTAAAATTAATATTCCTTAATCAGCATTTTTAAATAGTAACTTCTAAAAATAAATTGACAGCTTATTACCTCAAGACAATACAACATTTCTTTATACATAATTTAAAAGCAGTGTAAGGGAGGTAATCCAAACATAACATTGTACTTTTTTTGATTGTCCATTAACCAGGAAACCCTTGTTTTTCCCCTTATTCCTAAACGGTTTGAGCCATAACCCCCCAAAGCCAATCCTAACCATCCCTTTGTTGTATGGAAACTTGTGGCATAATTTCAGAGAGATCCATACACCGTTCCACAAGTTATTGTCTGGAAACTAGAAAAATGCTTATTTTGGCCCCTAATTCCTAAACTGTTAGGACTATAACCCCCAAAATCAATCTCAACCTTCCTTTTGTGGTTATAAACCTTGTGTTTAAATTTCACTACTTACTAAAGTTATTGCCCGGATACCAAATGTCTTCGGACGACGCTGTGATACCAATATACTATCGCAAAATTTTTTGCGGTCGTATAAAAAGGGGTCCATAAAAACTGACAAAAACAAATGTTTCAACTTTATCACCCAACAGAACAAATGGAAAATAACTGTTATCTTCCTGACCTGGCATTTGCATTTTCCAAAGAAAATGTTGGGAAAACAATAAGCAATACAAGCAACATACAAAGTCCATGGACATACACTGGATACTGTCGAAGCTAGCAAATATGTATGCATAACCATTAGCAACAACTTAACATGTTCTTCACATATTATTTCAGTGGCAAAGGAAATAAGACATCAGGATTTATCTTCTGAAACCTTAAAGACTGCAATAAACCAATAGTCCGCAGCATATACATCCATGATCAGTGGAATAGGCATCCACAGTTTAGGATCCACAAACCATTATAATATCAAGTCAATAGAGAGTACATAAAAGAACAAATTTATTTCACAATTACACAGAACAAAACATTCGGCTTCCTCAAAAATGTGGTAAATTCATTAAAAAGGGAAAATCTCAAAAGAAATATTGCTCGATATTTAAGATCCAGCATGATCTAACCGATATCAGTCACCAATACTCAACTTCTAATTACAGCTGGACCAAATTATAACTGCTTCTACAAAGGACCATCAGAAATTGGAACCAACATTCACCATCAGTAACAACAGCCATCACAGTTGAGGGATACACAGCTGCCTTGAAGCCATGTCCTAAAATGAACTAGCTGCATGACCCGACACTGCATGAAATTTCCACGCAGAACCACTTACATTCAAATTGAATTTGGTCCCATACAAGGACGAAAGAGTTTGAGTTTGAGTTGAAGTGAAAGTTTGAATTTGATGATTCGCCTCCAGCCAATTAAAGTAACACTCATTAAAACCTATTTAACTGCATTTTGATTGCTCAAGTTTTTGCAAATAAAAAAGCAAATAAGTAAATTTTCATAATGCTTGTTTTTTAATAGTAGTGTTGGGCATAAAGTAGTTAACATAGATGAAATTTATAGAATAATTTCTCCATTAAGTCTTTAATCAGTTCAAACCAAACTTGATTTAACTGATCACCAGGTCATACATTCGAAGTGTAGTAAAAATGGAATGGGTGATTCTCGGCAAGTGATCCAGGTTCTTTGGAGGCATATTTACTATTAGTAACCATATTAACAACGATGATGATAAATGGCTGTTTAATGTCCAGCGGCAAGTTAAATGAATATTCAAGAATATTAATATAAATGCGATATGAATATGAACCCTGCTTTGGACTAGACCTACACTCTTGAATCAGAATTTTAACGTTTTTGTTTACATGGTAACAGTCCGCAGGGAATACATGTCACAATACTCTGACACGATTTTCTGAGCAGCAAATACCAGTTATTCAAGTCTTTGGTTTGACCTAGCAGGAGATCTAACCTTTGACATCCCAAACTTGAGGCAAACATTCTACCACGATGGCTTCATATGACTTTTTAAAGTACAGGTTTAAAGAAACCAGCATTGCTTATTTGACTTTCTTTGCATATAAAACTAAAAATCAAAGTTTGCCATACAGCATTATAATGCTGGCTGATAATTTCGATGTTCAATATAACATTACCTTGTAATGCAGAGACATATCTGATGGACGAGATACCCAGAATTGACAATGTTCCAAAAATATAACCATCACAAAATAACTATTTCAGCAATACAAAGTAACTGAACCCAGCAGGATCAAAAGACAACAATGTGGAGGAAGCAATGTTTATAAAATAATGATGAATACCAACTGCTGTCATTTAATGGCCTAGCCCTTCACGACCAAACTTCTTTCTTTTTCAATAATCCACTCTTTTCATGTTGAACCAAATATATTGTTACAGCTTATTAAGCCATCCCTGGATTTCAAGTGTTCGGGTATGAATATTCCTGATGAACTTGAATCCAGAAAAGTGCTTCTGTCACACAGAAATTATAAAGGGTTTATTTCATTTTCTACAAATCAAATGAACCATGATGACAATAGAGAACCACAAGAACCACAAGGTGTGATGAAATGGATTCATGCCTTGAATGAAAATAACACTTTATAAATTTCATTCCATTGAAGCCCTTTTCAAGATTCGCCTTCCTCAGCAACACTCAAACATAAACATTTTAATGTCAGGGATGTAGAAATATGTAGAAGTGTTAGGAACTAAATGACCTAAAAGCATAGCCTGATTTGTCTACTGTCAACTTTGTCTGAAGGAGTTGGAATCTTAGTTTCTAAATAATTTCATTATTTATCATAGGACACCATTAAAGAAGTATGTTATAAATAACATCAGTGCAAAAGAAGTGACTTCTGAGCTAATGATTACTGGGTACATCAAGGACTAACAGTCAACTTTAAACCATCCAATTAATAAATATTAAGTTTTGATGATTTTTTTCACCTTTGTTAATGAAAAACAGAACTCTAAGATGCTCATAGATAAACAAAGGTATTGGATCTAACTGTTCACATCAACAATCCGAGTGCCTTCATTTATGAGCCCTACAGAAGAGTATCATGTATGGTTTGGATTTGTGGAATATTACTAATTGCTGAAAAAATTTGTAAGGATTCCGCGGAACCCAGTGTCTCGCCTACTTTTTCTGTTAATCGCAGGCTCAACAAAAATGAGGAAGTAAATCAATAAAAATATTCCTCTTGATACTATCTTTTGATTGTAAGAAGCTTCTGTCCAAGTTTGGTAAAAATCCAGGATAGTTTATGAATCTAATAAATATTTAAAAACTTTAACTGCAGACTGAATGTAATGTTAACTGGAAGAAAGCAAAATTTCCTTCTAGATACTAGCATTTGATCATAAACAAGCTTCTGTCCAAGTTTGGTACAAATCCAAAATAGTATAAGAAAGTTATTAAAATTTTAAAAACTTTAACCACAGAGTGAATGTGTTGTTTCCTGGCAGAAAATCTAAGTCCATTTAAAAGTAAAATAAGGAAAAAATGGATTTATTTTTTTACAAAATTTACTTCAGGATACTATCTTATGATCATAAACAAGCTTCTGTCTAAGTTTGGTACAAACCCAGGATAGTTTAAGAAAGTTATTAAAATTTTAAAAACTTTAACCACAGAGTGAATGTAATATTTCCCGGCAGAAAAACTAAGTCCATTTATAAGTAAAATACGGAAAAAATGGAATTTTATTTTTACAAAATTTACTTCTGGATACTCTCTTATGATCATAAACAAGCTTCTGTCCAAGTTTGGTAGAAATCCAGGATAGTTTATGAAAGTTATTAAAATTTCAAAAACTTTGACCACAGAGTGAATATTTGTGGACACCGCTGAAGACGACGGAATGTAGGATAGCTATGTCTCGCTTTTTCGACTAAAGTCGAAGGCTCGACAAAAATCCCAGAAACCCATTTGTTAAAGCATGAAGCACAATAAAAACAACAGAACAGATGATACAGCTGAAGTAAAAGAAGACGAGTTGTTTATATTTTTAAAAGACAATGGTGAAAACAGACAATAAAATGGTCCCATAATAACTGTTTGCAGAAAACTATAGATATGGAAATTTTCATGCAAGGATTATTTTCGCATTTTTAGTGTTCACGTAAAATGAACAAAAAAATCCCTGTGCAAATAGTTTGTATAAAGGAGATACTTAGTGTATTGATGTGCAAATGAAACCTCTGCATGAAAAGTTTACGAATTGAAATGGCAAAAATATAACAACCCGTAAAAATATCCACGTTTACAGTAACAATATGTACAAAATTATAATCTTTCATAATCAAGCACAAGCACTTCGTCAATTTTGAATAGTAGAATATATTCATTGACACAAACACTAACATATTATATTTAATACTTTAATATTTTATGATCAAAAACATACATATATTAGCTGCGGTTTACTTTCTGAACCAAAATGTTTATGATTGTAATGTAGTTGTTGTGGAACAACTATCTCAGTTATTATATAGGGTAAAGACATTTCATCTAATCATTCACAAGCTTGTTGCTTTAATAAGGAGAAATGATCATTGAAAAACTTAAACAAGTGTATAAACAACCATACGGTTGTTTCAAGTCACATCTATTCTAAAAAATATCCAAGTTGTATGCTTCCCATCCTTTGAATGTATGAAAGGCATCTGTGTTACACTGTTGAGCACAAGAAAAAAATAGACATGATTCCTTTAGATCAATCAATAAAAATCCCCAGAATAATAAATCACAGACTAATCTTTTGATGTAATAATTGATTTAGGTATTTATAGAGCTAAACATATTGTCTGGTCTGATGTCAATACAAACCTTTCTTGTGAAAACATTATTTCATGCAGGAATACAGGATCAGTCAATGACATAGCAAACACACATGTAATTCTAAAAAAAATCCAGTCAAGAAATGACTTGCAACAATTGTATTAAAAAAATTACCAATCCTTAAGATATAAATCAAAACTTAGACATTTATCAATTTTCTCTTACTGAATATAATGTCACTTATAATAGGCCACACGTTTTTAATTAAAAAAAAAGGTTTTCCTGACGAAGTACAAACTCTATAAATAACCATTTTCTAAGATGCATAGATCCTAAACCATACATATACATATTTGGCACATCATATACATGATGACATAAAATATCAAAGCCAAGTAACTGAAAGTTTGATATACCAGTTGTGTTTTAGCTCTAAAAAAGTAACATGGCATTAAATTTACAGTTATTTACTACTGCTTCAATACTTATCTATTATTAGCACTATAAATAGTATTACCCAGATTGTGATATCTAGTTGACTAGATCTGTCAATCTAATATAGTGTCTTTGTCTAATGTGACATTTTCTACATACTAAATCTTATCACTAAACTTAGGATAAAGGAAGACAGGATAATTAAGAACAGCAATATTAACTATAAAGGATCTTTGGTACATAAATAAAGCACACTTCCAGTATATATATTATAACATGATTGTATCTATTTTGACATATCCTGATCAAAATCAATTTCTGGATTAATCGATAAATCTGTAACTTTTCTGTTGGACATGTATAACATTACGTTTTGTAAATATATTATGCCCTTCATTTGATGTCTTAAATGATTTTCATTAAAACCTACTTCTAATCATATTCATGTATCAGCTAATATAAACTGTTGAAATAAAATAAAATAAAAATATGTCTAACCTCATTACAGCAAAATTGACCAAAATGTATCTGTTCTGTAATGTGAAGGTATGTGTAGTTAATAAGACTCAAATGTACTTCTAAGAATAGGCTTATTTCCTTTTACAGAATCTAAAGATTTGTGGTTAATCAATTATAAAATTAATAAAAATAACATTTCAGCCATTAAAGTACCGTATGCAAATATTTTTAAAAGTCAAAGTACCAGAAGAGATGCACTAATGCTTGTAAAAGAGAGAACACTAAATTAAATTGTAAGGGGTTGGTTTTTATCTTACCTAACCATAAACATAAACACTTAGTTTTGTATTTTGGAGAATTTTATTAAAAAAAACAAGTATGATTGCCTATTGTAAACTATAAACCAACTGTCCTTGAACTTGTTATTGTTTAACTGTAATAAAGAAACATTTGCTTTTTTTTTACCTGGCAAGATCTGACTACAAAACTGATGATAACTCATCAAAGCGGAATTTAAGTTTCAGTCAATTCAAATATATTAAGGAATATTTTTGACGTATTTTGTAATTACCGAAACTCCAGTTCAAGGATTGTCGATCATTTAATTTTGTGTCAGTGAAAAATGGTTCTATGATAGCAAAAAGGTTGAAGAAAATACACAATTTGATCAGAAACAAAATTTACTTTCCTTATACTTATGTATATTCTATAATGACTTCCATTTTTCTTACAAATTATTTATCTACCTTATATTTAAATATGTTCCTTTCTTAATCTGCAAATTTGCCATAAAACTTTTTTCTCAACTTCTTATAAAATGCTGAAAGACGGCAATGGTCATCATTATGTTGGAACATAAGATTATCCTTTCAAAATCATGAAGAATACACAACATACTGTTTCAACATTCTTACTAAAGTCTGCTCAGTTTTTGAGGTATAATTCTTTTTCATTTATTTTGCGACAGAATCCTTTCTTCTCTAATAAAAAAAGTAAAATAAGAAGAAAAGACCATGTAAATGTGATACATGCATAAATATATAAATTTGAGTAATGAATCAATATATGTTAATTGATATTATGAATTTCTCTAAAATTTCATTGTTAATATATATCTTGTATTTTCTTTTGAGTAAACATATTATTATTTTTATAATTGGAAAAAACAACCTTTACCAAACCCTGCAATATCCTTTGTATTGGTTTGTTTCCAACAATAAATGAAAAACATAATTTAGCTTCATCAGCATCATTTTAAGTAACTAAAGTATATGCTAACATACTACACATTTTCTATGAGAGTAAATCTGAGGTTAACAATAAGTATCAACAGGAATAATCATTCATTACATAGATATTAAAAATTGGTTATATATCCTTATAACAGATTGTAGATAAATCATTAGTTTTTTTTTCCATAAAGTATTAATCTTTGAATAGTGTGGAGTAAGACAGAAATGATTAACTGCAATTTAATATATCAAGATATATATACCCTTGGTTTATAATTATGACATTTGTTTACCAGTATTTTGATTCAGTTATAATCTGGATTTAGCAGGTGTTTTATTGCACAAGGTCCATCAAGCAAATAAGTTTTCTGTTGTAAAACCTTTTAATGTTGGCAATTTGATAAGATTTCAGGTTGTTATCTTTTTTTTTAATGAAGGGTTGTTTTCATTATTGGGATGACTTCTCTCCTAGAATATTTCAGTTTTCAATGTAAATGCAAGGGTGTTTACTGTTCCATTATCCATGCATTTTGGTATAGACAAAACAAACTGAACCATGACCCCTGTATGATAATTTGAACTGTATGACCAGGTGTCATAGCCGATTGTTTCATTCTTTATAGAGAGACTATGAATAAAGTAATTGGTGGAGACATATATCTAGCCTACTGATCAATGACAAAATTTAGGATACATATGCCTTTAAAACAACTGAGCTCTATTTAAAACTGAGTTACATTGAATAAATTTGCTGATTACAATTCATTTATAAGAGGTAGATAATATAATTTCAAGTTAGATGGTTCACAAGCATTAATCCAACTGAAAATCTAATATATGCTTGTAATATATATATAAGTGGTTTATATAAAGGTGAGAAAGGATATTGTTGATGTGAAATGAGTATCTATAAGGAGTCTAAATACAAATGAATTGAAAATAAATGCATAAAATAATCAATGAATCATAACTTAATCTCTGATATGCTTATTAAACATAATTGTTAACTGAAATGAAAATAAGTGATGAGTTGCAATACACTTTTTTTATAATTGAAATAAATAAATAAGTCACATATTTGAAACTATACATAAAACATGTTAGTATGAATTCGTGACATTGTTTTATCACATAAATAGGCCATGGGACTGGGAACATAATTCTTACTTACATTTACTTTTGCTCTTCTGTTCTTCCCTTCATAGAAGGATAGAAAGAAAATAGAATAAAAGTAACTACTTTTTGTTTTAGATGTGAAGAAGGATGAGATGAACATTTAAGGGGTTACTTTGGTCCATAATATGGATAAGAGAAATTCCTTTTAGTTTTCATTGCTAATGGGTCAGAAAATAAAGAAAATTATTAATTTCAGTGAATTTCATAACAACAAACATTACATTCACTTTTTAAGTATTTTGTAAACAGCAAACAACTATTCTGTTTTCAATTGTAAATACCATGATACTTGTCAAATACAATCTTCACTGGAATATATCTATATGGTCAAATTAAAAAAAAATATTAATTTTGTTCCCTAATTATTGCTTTACATATTTGGACCAAAAACCAAGCGTACCCCTCTCATTTGTTTTTGTTGATTTATACTTTTGTATGGACGGATAAATAAATATGAACCCCCTCAAAAGATTTGTGTCTGCTAGCATAATTTATATTGCCTACAATATTAACTGAAATATAACGAATGAAAGAAAAACTTGAATAGCACTAACTGTGTATCACTCATAGATTTACTGTATTAAACATAAATACAGATTCTGCAAATTGTTTTAAAAATCTAATTTGTTAAATGTCTTTTGTACACTACACAAAAACTTCTTAAATACAAAATCTTTTTTTTTACAAATTCTCATGAATATTTACTCTCTCCAGACATACATTTATCCTTGTGTTCCAAGCTTACAAATGAACACAGCACGATTATGTTCCCTGGGCACGAAGAGTTAAGGCCAGGGCCTTTACTTTTGCATTGAATGGTAAATAGCTATATCCTAAGCCCTATTTTCCGGGTCATACAAATACTTTAGCTAATGCATCTGCTCCAGCACTGGCTATGTAAGGCTTTGACGGGTGGAAAGCAACATCAAATATTGATTCGTCAAATTTTTTCCTATGTGCAGTTATTTCTTGTACACAAGTGTTACTGTCCAAATTCCATAACCTAATAGAGCAATCATGACCTGTAAAAAAACAGAACCATAATATAAAACTCAATTTCATTTTGGCCTAACAATAATAAATGCTTTTCAAAAATTTGCAAGACTTACTCAAAAACGAATGCTTAACTTTATGATTAATATGTTGTTATCTTAAATTAAGGTGTATTTTGAAATGATGGGTTTTCAGTTGCCTTCATCAAGAGACAACTTCATGTATGTAGATAAAACAGTTTGTAAAGAAAGTTGAATAGATAATAAGGTAAACCTCATTCAATGGTTCATTTTTAAGTCAACAATTACAATTATAATAGCCAAAACAAAAATTTAAAAATATATATAACTAAATATTGAGTAAATTTTTCAGACACTTTGGTCAAAACTAACACGTTGTTGTCAGATATGTTAACACATTTCTCCATTTAATAATCCACAAAGTCCCAAACTCGACAAAAATAACAGAATCATAAAAATTGAAAGGAAGCTGGTCTTTAAGACCATTACTTAGAATGGATTGGGCAAGGCAAACTTGATAAACATACTAATAAGTAAACAAATACAGTATTTGCAATACTCTTGAAAAACTCAGCTTTCAATAGATAAATAATTACGGTCATATCAACAAATACTTACTTCCAGACAATAGATATAGTCCATTTGGATCAATTGCTAAACTCGTAACAGCATCTAAATGTGCCACCATTGAATGGATTAATTTACCTGTAACAATAAATAGTATGCTTTCAATCTTTTTCTGTAGAGGGATTTAAGTTGATACTTTTTAGAAACTTATTACATGAGTAGCTGGAAGAAAAACATCTGTACAGCTTATTTTTTTCAATTGAGGAAAATTATTATACTTACCAAAAACAGTCAATTCTTATTCTAATCAGCTGGAAAGTCATTCTTACTTAGCAAATGGACTTAAAGCTTCTTAAAATCATTACAACATTTCTACATAAAACGATAAACTTGTAACAAGTAAAACTGTGAGCTACTGTTCACTAATTATACCCCTGCTTTAAAAATTCAGTGAACAAGAAGAACTTATTTTTAGTACCCTAGAAAAATGCGACAAAAATTTCATACATGGCAATTATGTGTTACAATATACATAGTATTTGGTAAACAGGAAGTTGGGAATCGATGAATCTAAATCTGCATTGCACAGTATATATAAATAAGAAGATGTGGTATGAGTGCCAATGAGACAACTATCAATCAAAGTCACAATGTGTAAAAAGTGAACAATTATAGGTCAAAGTACGGCCTTCAACACGGAGCCTTGGCTCACACCGAACAGCAAGCTATAAAGGGCGCCAAAAAGACTAGTGTAAAACAATTCAAACAGGAAAACCAACGGTCTAATCTATATAAAAAACGAGAAACGAGATAGAGCATGTTCAAAAGAAAGCTATAACAAATTTCAGGAAGCTCCAATGTGGCGGAATTTATAGGACATATGGACATACTGACAGACAGAGGTAAAACAGTATACCCCTCCTTAGGAGCAGGAGAATAAAAATATACATAACTTATAGTATTTAACAGTCAAGTTACATTTGATTAAATAACATATAAAAGACACCTATGCCAATAATTGAAAACTTATCTTCTACAATAAACATTACCTGTGTTATTGTCAAAAAACCTAATGTGTCTGTCTTCATGTGCTGTAATAGTGACTGGACGTGTTGGATGTGTTATTATTCTATTTATTTGATTACTATTATTAGCATCTGAAAAAGTAGACATATAAACTTAAATTTCACCATTTTAAGTAACATAAGAAAAGCATTCTAATTATGTACAATATTATATTGATACTTCAAATATCAAAGTAAATGTTTTGTCCTTAGAAGATGCCTCCCCTAGTCCCCACCCCTAGTTTTGGAAATTATAACCTGGTCTGACAAGAGAAAGACTATGAATTCTTATTCAATATTAACAAAACTGTACAAGAGTGTTTTTATTATTCAAAGTTGCTTTTAGGTTCAGTGTAAACAAGATATACAAATAGCTAACTCATTATACACTTGCTCAATGTTTTGACTTTTTTTGCAGAGATGTATGTTTTTGGCAAATAATAAGTAGAATATGGGGAAAAAAATAAAACATTTTGGAGACATCACAAGAAAATTTAATTGCAGCAAGATTTATTTATGGATTAAGTCCTTTTAATTGATTGTCAATTTTATTATCTTTTTTCTTTGTTACAGTAAGGTTAAATCAGTTTTATTTTTCTTGTTAGATATAAATGGAATTCACAACAGTAAGATTTTGAAGTGAACGGTTTGGCTGGTGGTCAGTTGTTTTAAGAAACACTTAATAGTGAAGATAGATTATGAATCCCAGTATCATATCTGCTAATATTAATCATTATTGTGACTAATATATTTTGTTGATGGAGATCCTGAAAAAATTAATCAAAATCACTCAATAAGAGAAAAAGAAATGAAAATCTCTCATATGTGTATTCACAGCTGTGGAAACACTACTTACCTATATTGATTTTAGTTTCTAAACAGAGTATTTGTTTTGCAGTTTCTAAATCATAAATGTAAGTATTAGAAGATGTGTAAGAAGCTACCATTTGGCTAGGATCACAACGCACAAAATCTACTGATGTTGGTACACCATCATCTGATAAAAAAAAATAATAAAGAATCAATACTGTATAATCATACTTTTGCCATATTTACTACTTTCGTACATGTTTGAGCAGAATTCATATGCTACATCTGATCTAGTGTGTACTTCATGCATACAAGTTTAGATGATGCATGCAATCTTTATTAGCTATTTCAATACAGCAAAAAACTGGTCAAATAGATTTTATGAGTCCTCATTTTTTTTACCTGTCCCATGATTTGATTGGCCAGTCATAACTACTGTTATAATTTCATCAGGAAGTGAACAAAGGTGATATTGATTTCACAGACCAGCTTTTAAGCAGCTTTAAAACTTAATTTCATGGTGTGCTTTTTAAAAAAAAATTTACACCCAAATATATAAAGACTGTGAATAAAATAAACAATGCAAATTATGTATATCAACATTTATCCAACAAATTATTATGAAATTGACTATATTTAGTGACAATTACCAGTATCTGCTGTAAATGAATTCAGTAATGGAGATTTGGCTCCTGGACTCCATAACTTCACTGTTCCGTCAGAAGAATTGGACAGTAGTTGTGTTTTAGATGAGTGTATTGATAAACCCCATACTGCATCTGTATGACCAACTAAAGTTTCTTGTAAAACACTTGGATCTGGAAGAAGTTATAAAGAAATTTATCAGTAGTTGTTTAATAAAAACATTATTCAAGTCTTATTGCTGAATACATTTTTCAGCATATTCATGTCTGTAGTCATGACTCCATCATTTATACATTTCATGGAATTCAGGTTCATTTCATGAGTGAATGAACTGTAAAAGACGAAACTGTTATTGAAATGTACAGATTCAAAATTAGATTTTGAAACAGGAATTTTTCCTCTTTTATTTTATAAACATGATAGGGTTAATTTTGCCCTAAAAAGTATCTTCTCCTCAGGAAACTTAGGTGCTGTGAGTGCTTCTCATAAAATACTACCATCCTCCTCACATACAAGAATAACAAACATGTCTATGACTTGAAGGAGGAAAGTTTCAATAAATCTTAATACAGGGTCTAGCACGGGTTTCTGGTACAAATTGGTACCTCATCCCCAAACAGGTCAAGCAATGGCAAAGTTAATGATTCATTAGGGATAAAACTAAAAATAATAATGTAAAAGAAAATGTAGGAGATGCACAATGGCATTATATGGTTAAGATTCTGAGAGTTTTATTAAATACTGATTATGGGTTTTGGAGAAGCTGATACAAATGTGTATTGTAGTGTCAGGATATTAAAAAGTCCATGCAAACTCAGAAAATTATTGGGACAAAGAGATGAAATAAGAGGTGAAAAGTACATCTTCTGTGAAAATTAACTAATTCTGTCAAGAGGTCCAGGAGCAGCTGCAATACATAAGTGGGGTAGACTGTCTCACCTATCACTTTATACTGTTGACCTCAATAACTGAAAAGAAAGTACACACCACTTAATAACACCATTACTGTAATATCATGTGACTTACCAAATGAATCATATGGATCTATGTTTGAATTTGGTATATTCCAACATTTTATTGTAGAATCTATTCCACCACTGTAACATTGTTCCCCTGTAGCATTAATGGCTAAACATAATACTGGCCCTATATGTGCCCTAAATGTATATACAGGTTCAACGTCTAATGATGCAGCTCTGAAAAACAATATAACATTATATACTGTTATGCCAATAATTAACATGTGTTTTTCTTAAATATGCAATGCATTATATAATGTCATGTCAATATCTAGTCTGTTCTAAAATACACACCATTTTTATGACATAACTACAGTGATTTTTCTGAAATATCTTATTCATTGGTTCCTCTCATATGCTTCCTTTTTAAAAGGTAGATAGGCTGTCTTCCGCAATCACTGATTGTCAATTAGCAGAAAACAATCGGTCTAGATCTTTAATGAAATATACAAATTTTGTGGCAGGAATACAGATTATAATACTTTTCACCTTAATGAAAAAAGAATGTGTTTTAACTGTTTTTACAAATATAGAATTTTTGTTCTTGCTCAATTTTTTGCCTTATAATATGCCCTGTGTAAAAGTTATTGATACTTACTTACATACCTTTACACCATATCTCCTGATTTATCTATTGATAGCTGTCCTAGTTACTATTAGGAAACATGTAACTACTAACTCAATAGACTGGAAGAGATTATGATGACTGTGTTGATGTCAATACTGTGTACATGAAAAACTAGATTTAAACTTACTTTTTTGCAGGGACTGTTTTCTGTAAATTCCATAATTTTAATGTATGGTCTTCAGAAGCTGTTAATAAAACAGGTTCAACAGGATGGAAGGCCAGGGCTCGAACACCATCAAAATGGCTGAAAATAAAATTCAACAATATATGTTTCAAGTAAAAAATCACGTGACTTTTGCCAATTCTTATTTGCCAGCAATCTAAAAAATTATGAATTAATTTAACAGAGACTATCAAAGATCTAAACCAGACTCATTTTTTAATGAAAGTAAATAAATGGGGAATGTGTCCATGGGACACAGATGATGCCCCCGCTTGCATATCATATAAAGTTATAAAGGGACATAACTAAAGAACAGTAAAAGTGACTACCCAAATTTGTACTTGATCTGAGTTTTGTGCTAATAAATATTGTGTATAAGTTGCATAACATTTGGTTGAGGCAAACTTAAGTTGGAGGATGGAAACGAAAAATTCAGCAATTTTTCCCTTTGAAAAGGGGCATAACTCTAGAACAGTAAAGTGACACCACCAAAATTCAAACTTGATCTGTAGTTTGTAGTAATAAGCATTGTGTATAAGTCTCATAACATTTGGTTGAGGCAAACTAAAGTTAGAGAACGGAAACCCACTTTGGGATGTACGGACGGACGTACAAGGGTAAAACTTAATGCCCCTCCGCTACGGTGGGGGCATAAAAATGAAGTTATCCCTTTTCTTTTTGAGTTTACACTCAAATTTTTTGCCCATTGTCTTTTTCAAATATCTATTATTACTGCATATTTTAATAGTTACCTCTATGTTCATTCATTGGAATTGCAAATATTTCATGCCTAAGCAAAAATAATTTTTTATAAAAACAAGTAGTTTTATCTTACCTTCGTAACGTGTACTTGGCATTCCAAGTTTTCCTGAAAGGTTCTTTTGGTGACAAATTCTACAACACAAAATAATCATAAAACAAAATGTTTAGATCTTTATCATTTAAGATTCAAGGATATAAAAGTTAAATCTCATTTGATGTAATATTTTTTTAAAACAACACCAATTTATAAGCATACGCTGTATAAGTATAGTAAAATCTTAAATACCACATGTGTGAAGATTTTCTCTCTCTCTCTCTCTCATCATTTCATTTTTTCAATTCACAATTTTTGCAGATTGTTAGTTTTAAAGCTACCTTTTTTTTTAGAAATCTTTCCAAAATTAAAGGCTTCACTAACAATAATAAATATATCTGTTTGTCTTCATCCAACTTATCGTTGGCATCAGTTCTTTATTTTTTCAATTAAAGCATAACAAGAATATATGTTTATAGGACACCATTCCTCCCTCATTTTAATAAATTTCCGTGCTCAATTTACCTAAAACTCTTGGTCAAAACCTTTACTTGGTATATATTTTTTAAAATGTTCTTATCATAAGGAAATTAATATTAAGTTTCAATTTGATGTGACCACACATTCATAGTAAACAACCTTTAACCAAAACTTTAACCTGATACCTGGTCGTATGGACAGACAAACTAAGGGATGGATGCACAGACTGCAAAACATAATGCTCCCTACTATTGTAGAAACTCTGAAAGGGCATTATAATAAGTCTTAAATCTTTTTCTTGGGCAAGTCAGACCATGGCAATCAAAATTTATTTCACTTTTAGTCAAAATTGAATCTGTCAAGATTCATTTCTTCCAAGATTTAGTTGTATTCTATCAATTTCTGGTAAGGATATTCGATAGGATAGCTATAAGTTTTTTTTCTCTCTGAAAAACAGTTAAAACACATGCTATATACAAATCTTACATCATAATTATTATTAACAGGGTCAAATTCATCCTGAGGAGTTATTCCAGCTAATTCCCCCAGTTCTAATGCTTCCAGAGCATCTTCCTCAGCATTCATTATTTGTCGCTGATTACTAGACGATGAAAATGGCATGGATCCACCACCCTGAACGCCTACAAATAAAACACATTATGATTAAATCTACATTCTTTGATAGTAATTATGATGAAAACAACAACTACATACATTGTACCTTGTCTTCATATTTCAATGGCTCTTACCACCTACAACAGGAAATCTCAACATTTCATCTGGAGGTGTGGCAAACTCATAAAGTTCTTAACATAACATCATATTCATAAATGGGTCAATTTGTAATTAAAGAACATTAGAGGAAGTCATATCTTTATACAATTAAGTTTAATAAGATGCATCACAATTGTAGACTTTGAATTGTTAATAAATTGCTTCGCCGAGCGCAGCTGGATACGACTGCAGAGGTCCAACCCTGAACAGTTGGGGCAAAAATGGACACAATATTCGCGCTTGATACAGGTCTGAATTTGGATTGTAATTCAACATTTTACACATTATAGGTTTCTGACACAGAATAACTGTAGTCAAAGAACTTAGAATTGGTTATATGATTTGAATTTATATTCAATTTTTTGCTTTCGTGAAATACTCTATGCTGTTGCGCATTGACCTCCCCCTCCCCCCCCTTTTAAAAAAAAAAAAATATTTGAAATTTTCTTTTTGATTTCTGAAATCTTGAGGAAAAGTTGTCCCCCCCAATTTTTTTTACCCTCCCCCCCCCTTTTTCCAAAAAAAAAAATTCTTTCCCTCAAGACATGGTCATAATCGCAATTCAAATTTCCAATGGAGTTTGCAACCATAATAACCCATTTAAATACATCATAAAAGTCTTAAAATAGAAAATGACATACATAATCATAGCTAATATTAATTTACCTTAATCAGCATTTTTAAAATTATTAAAATAGTAACTTCTAACAAGAGTGGACACGCTGAAATGTCTCGCCTTCTTTACTAACCATTGATATTATGTTGATAGTCCTAAATGAAAGCTTTACTACAACTATTACATAAACTTAACATGATCAAAGAAAATGAAGTCAAGGTCATATAAACCAAACAAGAAATACATGTACACCTTACAATCATTCAATACACTAAATATAGTTGACCTATTGCTTATAGTTTCTAAGAAACAGACTTAACCAAGAAAACTAAACATTGACCAATGAATCGTGAAAATGAGGTCAAAGTCAGATGAACCATGCCAAGCAGACATGAACAGCTTACAATCCTTCCATACAACAAATATAGCTGACCTATTGCTTATAGTTTAAGAAAAACAGACTGAAACACATAAACTTAACACTGAGCAATTAACTGTGAAAATGAGGTCAAGGTCAAATAAAACCTGCGAGACTGACTTGTACATCATAGAATATTTCCATACACCAAATATAGTTGACTCATTGCATAATAGTATAAGAAAAAAGACCAAAACTCAAAAACTTAACTTTGACCACTGAACCATGAAAATGAGGTCAAAGTCAGATGACACCTGGCAGTTGGACATGTACACCTTACAATCATTCCATACACCAAATATAGTAGACCTATTGGATAAAGTATAAGAAAAACGGACCAAAACACAAAAACTTAACTATAACCACTGAACCATGAAAATGAGGTCAAGGTCAGATGACACCTGCCAGTTGGACATGTACACCTTACAATCATTCCATACACCAAATATAATAGACCTATTGCATACAGTATAAGAAAAACGGACCAAAACACAAAAACTTAACTATAACCACTGAACCATGAAAATGAGGTCAAGGTCAGATGACACCTGCCAGTTGGACATGTACACCTTACAATCATTCCATACACCAAATATAATAGACCTATTGCATACAGTATAAGAAAAACAGACCAAAACACAAAAACTTAACTATAACCACTGAACCATGAAAATGAGGTCAAGGTCAGATGACACCTGCCAGTTGGACATGTACACCTTACAATCATTCCATACACCAAATATAATAGACCTATTGCATACAGTATAAGAAAAACAGACCAAAACACAAAAACTTAACTATAACCACTGAACCATGAAAATGAGGTCAAGGTCAGATGACACCTGCCAGTTGGACATGTACACCTTACAGTCCTTCCATACACCAAATATACTAGACCTATTGCTTATAGTATCTGAGATATGGACTTGACCACCAAAACTTAACCTTGTTCACTGATCCATGAAATGAGGTCGAGGTCAAGTGAAAACTGTCTGACAGGCATGAGGACCTTGCAAGGTACGCACATACTAAATATAGTTATCCTATTACTTATAATAAGAGAGAATTTAACATTACAAATAATCTGAACTTTTTTTTCAAGTAGTCACTGAACCATGAAAATGAGGTCAAGGAAATTGGACATGTGACTGACGGAAACTTCGTAACATGAGGCATCCATATACAAAGTATGAAGCATCCAGGTCTTCCACCTTCTAAAATATAAAGCTTTTAAGAAGTTAGCTAACGCCGCCGCCGCCGCCGCCGTAGCCGCCGCCGGATCGCTATCCCTATGTCGAGCTTTCTGCGACAAAAGTCGCAGGCTCGACAAAAATGAATTGACAGCTAATCACCTGAAGACAATACAACCTTTCTTAATACATAATTTAAAAGCAGTGTAAGGGAGGTAATTCAAAGTTGTGTTTGAATTACCTCTCTTCCATTGTAATTTGTACTTTAAGTGATTGTCCATTAACAAGGGCACCCTTGTTTTTTCTCACTTTTTTGTATGGAAACTTGTGGTATAATTTCAGAGAGATCCATACACTGTTCCACAAGTTATTGTCATGAAACTAGAAAAATGCTTATTTGGGCCCCTTTTTGGCCCCCAATTCCTAAACTGTTGGGACCATAACCCCCAAAATCAATCCCAACCTTCCTTTTGTGGTTATAAACCTTATATTTAAATTTCATAGATTTCTATTTACTAATACTAAAGTTATTGTTCAGAAACCAAATGTCTTCGGACGACAACGACATACCAATATACGACCGCAATTTTTTTTGCGGTCGTATAAAAATAACCTGACAACCTTGAGGTGTTTTATCAACTTATATTTTTCTTTTAAGCAGCTGTAATAAAGTTATGAATAACATTGAAATAATAAAGCAATTACCTATTTGGTATAAAAAATGAACTTTCACTGGATTTTATTTAAACATCTTGTAGTTAATTTTCAATGGAAATTAAACAATTATTCCTTCTGTAACATATTTCTATCATCCTGAAATTTGTGTCAATGTGTCCCCTTGTGTAACTGGCATCCTAAACAGTAGTATCTATTGGGAAATTTGGAAAAAAAAAAAAAACAGTACTTCATTGCTATGGACTGATTCAATATTCCTTTCTCATCAAACTTGCTGGAAGCGATTATGTGTATGCTCCTTTTCCCACCCTTTTTAAAAAAAAAAAATTCAAAATTTATATGAGGGAAAAAAATCAAACATCAACAAGAATTCTAGTCTTGGAAATTTCAGGCATCATAAGGTAAGATTTCCCATCATTTGCAGCTCAGACCAGACTATCAGAGACTCTCAAGTGTCTAGAGATTTCTCAGTCTTGGACTCCTAATAGTTACGATTCTTAAAATTTATCTAAAGAGTAAATACGTGGAAAGAAAGAAATTACTATTTTGTGACATGCGTTGATGACACCTACTTCATAAGTAAATTTTATTGTACATGTTATTGTTAAGACTTGTTCTACACTGATAATAACACCAAAGGAAAACTGCCAGGGTTTGTTGCATACAACATTGAACATTTACAATATATGTTAATATGGATTGATAAACAATAAATGTTAAAACAACATACTCTATCTATAAATAAATCAGGGACTTTCCTAGGTGGAAGAAAGCAGATTTGTGAAATAAAAAAGATGTGAATCGTGCAAAGCTAAACACTACAAAAAACAAACACTTCTGAAATTTATAACAACACTCTGAACTTATGCATAACATTTCATTTCATGGTTTTAAATGTTTTTTTCACTATGATTATAATTAAAATATTAAAATGCCTTCACCAGATTTTTGTATAAGCTAGCTTTCCTGAATTATAATTACACCCAAAGGCAAGTTAAAACTTAGGAAAGTCCCGGCAATTCAATCATGTACATGTGTAATTCTAATTTTGTCTTAATTCACTGCTCACGCAACTGACAAAATTAGAATTATATTGTATCAGTATGACTAATGTGCATACCCATTTCATCTATATCGGGCATGCTATTTCCCGAAGATGAAGAAGATTGTCCTGACGATGCTGCTCCAGCATGCATATCGTCTTCATTGCCTAGATTAGCAAGCATGGCTTGTAATGCTGATCTTTTTGGTCCTGTCAAATGAGATTATTCAACTTCAGAACATCATTGGTAAATTCTTTTTTTTAATTTTGAATATGTTTCATTAAAAAGATTTTTTAGTGAAAGTTAGTAAATTATGTTGAAGCAGCTGATGAACAAGTCCATCATTAAGTAACACAGCAAATACCAGTACTGAAGACTTTAACTTTTTGTCTTTAAAACATTGTATTATAATCTAATAAGCAAAAAAATCAAGAACATTTTCATTAATTAAATTGTTATTTGTAACAGTGAATATCACAAATGCAATAAAAGGATGTAATACATCCAAAAAATGTTTTAACTAGGTCAGCTTCTGCCAACACAAAATAACTTCCTCTGCCTCCATTTTAACTATTACTGTCCTCCCCAATTTTTAACCGTAATAATCTTAAAAACTTGGAAATAATTTTCATTAAAATTCAATATCAAAATTTAATAAATAAAGAAAAACCAAATAATTATATAACCTGAATTTCTTTTGAAAGTTATACATGAATATGTATCAAACTCCATATCCAAGAAACTAAATTCCTCCATGTTTGTCGTTTGGTATGTAATCTACATCTTATTTATAGGAAAACAATTTAGACTGAACTTCCTGTCTAGTTCATTGTATCATAAGGACTGTATACAGCCATCTTTTCCTGTTTAAAATCGTCACTTGAAGATTCACCACTATTAGCCAGATTATCATTTAACAAATCATTTGCTTTTCATCATTAAAAAGATTTATTTGATTTAACCAAATCAATTTTTGAAGGGGCACTTCTTACGGTTAATATGGATAGAAAAATAACGTATATTGTCTTATGTCCTTTTTATTAATAGATTATAATCTGGCAAAAAGCCCATTTAATATTACGATCACTTGAAATGTAACTCAGCTTAATACCACTTAAGATTTTATCTTCTTAATACTGTAAATTCAGTAATTTTTGCAATGTTTTTATTATTATTGCAGAAGTTGTGACGGAATAGGATTTGCAAAAATAAATAATCACATTTTTAATTTTGATAGCATTGTTTGTAGTATTTCCTGAAAGCAAAATATTTAATCTCACATTTGTGTCAATCATTCAACAAATGCAATAATAAATGCATGCAAAAATTTCGGAATTTACAGTATAAAGCAATCAAACCCTGATTTTCAAAAGCAAGAAACTTTATGTCTTTAGCTTGCTGCTTGAGAACACATTAAATTTCAGTGCATATCAGAAAAAAAAACAAACAATCTTATAAAAAAACAATTAATCTATAATGCAAGCAAACAAGTTTCGGTTTAAACTAGAAATGTAGATTAACAGATTAAATGCAGTTACATCTATCCTGAGACAAGCTAAATCAATTGTACAGGTTGAGCAAGACAGGCTGAAAACATATTAAGTATGAATTTCTGGGCATAAAAACATTTTTGAGAATGACAAGACTGAAGAATTTAAAGTTCAAAGAAGAATATACATTTGGAAAAACTCTATGCAAAATAACAGTGTCTCTTCATATCAAACGTAGGATGAGCAACATAAAAATAACAGGTATTTGGCAAAATTCCAAATTCAAAGGATGACAAAATTTCTCAGAAATCTATATGAACCTGTACCTCAAATCCTCATGCACATCAGGATAAACAATAGAGCCAAAAACTTATTTATGAATAGTTGTGTTAGCAAGTTGCATTTATGTTGCAATCAAAATTTCTCAATTTTCTGGAAAAAACCCACTTTGATTTAACTACACAATCTACCTACCTACCTGCATATTGATATATAAGTAAGTTTGGTTCAGATAGGATTTATGGTTCAAAAAATATTTTCTGGAAACAAAACATTTCCCTAAATTTCAGCCTAATCATGAACTTTGACCAAGTCACCTCAAAATCAATCAGGGTCTTTATTATCCATAGGTAAATTATCCCCAAAAGATTGGTTAAGATCTGATTAATGGCTAAAGCAATCATCCAAACATGTTATCAAATTTCAGCCTATATGACTTTAAACTTATAATAAACTGTTGACACAGAGATATGTCTCGCCTTTCAGCAGAAAATTAAAAAAAGACAATCTGATGGACAGCAACATTGCTAATTAATTCAAACTTGCCAGACCATGACCTAGGGGGCAGTGCCTCAAATGGTCAACAAACTGAGATATAGTGAAAGTAATGCAACTATATAGAATATCATTGTCTATCATAAGTAGTTCCTATCAGACTAACTTAATCAAATAACTGAACATTTAAAATTTGTAATTAATTGAAAGTAATTGGACCATGAACTACAGGTGCAGGGCCTCAAAAAAGTCATCAAACTGACAATAATGAAACTTTAAAGAAAATCTTGTCGATTTATCACAAGTAGTTCCTATCAAACTGACTTAAGCAGAAAACTTAACATTGAAAATTGCTAATGGATTCAAAGTCACTTGACCATGACCAAGGGGGCAGGGCCACAAAATACTTGTCAAACTAATATGTACTGAAAGTAATGCAACTATACAGAAAATATCTCTAATCTATCACATGTAGTTCAGATTAAACTAACTTAAGGTTCCACTAAAGTCAAAATATAGGACACTTCATAAACATCTAAACTTTGCCTGTATTTTTCAACCTATAATGAGTAAAGTCCTAAACTATGAGAACATATGTTCATTTAAACATACTCAACATATACACACTGTGTAAATTGTAAATAAACTTGAAATTGTTATGCTGTGGCCAAACCGGTTCTAGAGGTGAACACTAAATTTTCAAAAAAATCTGGGGGCCTGCGAGACGACTTAATTTGCTTAAAATTGGTATAGACGAATACTGTTACATGTAATGCAGGGCAAGCTCATGTTGATTTGTTACATACATATGTTTTAATGGCATATTTGTCCAATTTCTGTATTGTACCTTCGATATTTGTTCACCTAGATACATGAAATTAACTGAAACTCGAAAATCAATACATTTTCTGAAAAATCAACATGAGCTTGCCCTGCATTAGATATAACAGTATTCGTTCATACCAATTTTAAACAAATTAAGTCGTCTCACAGGCCTCCAGATTTTTTTGAAAATTTAGTGTTTACCCAAAGAACCGGTTTGGCCACAACATAACAATTTCAAGTTTATTTACAATTTACACAGTGTGTATATGTTAAGTATCTTTAAATGAACATATGTTCTCATAGTTTATGACTTTACTCATTATAGGTTGAAAAATACAGGCAAAGTTTAGATGTTTATGAAGTGTCCTATATTTTGACTTTAGTGGAACCTTAAGGAGAAATTGCTTATGCTGTGGCCAATGCCAAGTCTCCCCTTCTGAAACATTAGTCCCAGATGAGAAAAAAGTCAACGAAGGTCTTATTCTTTTGAATGGACATTTCAAGGCTTAATTTGATGGAGGTTTGGCATTAGGTTCAATACATATCATTCCAAAACCAAAATGTTGGCAAAATTAATTTTAATTGCAGCTGTGACCTTGACCTTGTGACTTCAAAATCAGTAAGAATCTTCCTTCATCTTCTGGGGTATTATCAAACCCAATTTAGTAAAGCTGTTTGTTTATGTCTTAAAAAGATATTTCCTGGAAATAAAAATGTTGACCCTGCACCCCACTGACATATTATTAACTAAGGCAACTCCATTGCTCCTTGGCTAATAAAAAAAGATTTGTGTCTATAATATATATACTGTAGAAACATTAATTTTCGTGGGGTTAAAATTTCGTGGTTTTGTCTCTATATAAAATTTCATGGGGATTTAATTTCGTGGTTTCATTAAATGGAAGTGATATTATATGAAGGTTGAATTTTCGTGGGGGTTTTAATTTCGTGGATATATTCTTTCCACGAAATAAACGAAATTAAATCCTCCACGAAAATTTCTGCTTCTACAGTATATATAATTCGTCTAAATAACAGCCCAACAATGTTAGATCTGTAAATTTGCGGAAGCAAATTTTTGTTCTTCCCTGGCCGGGATTCGAACTCATGCTACTGAGATGTCGTGGCACCAAATCGCCTTGCACTATGCCCAGTGCGCTAGACCACTCGACAACCTAGGCTCGACAAAAATCAAGCTTTCGGTGGCCGGGTGTTACCTTTCCTTGTCAGTTTTTATCTAGCGTTGTAACACATTACATGATATATAAGGCATGAAGATGTAATATTACAGGTTATTCTGTGACTGCATCCTACATTAATTTGTAAGATCCTCTACAAAAGATTATTCAGCTGATCTGTAATATTCCATCTTCAGTCAATACGTTATTTATGGACCTGTTAAGATTATATTGAGACTCAGACTTCGTCCTCGGTCAATATAATCTGAACAGGTCAATATATGACGTATTGACCTCGTCAAAAGTCCATAATTGATAATTATAAGTATCTCTTTATGACCCTTGTATTAGAAATTCGAGAAGAGACTCAGAAGTAACTAAAGACTCTGAATCTTGAACCTGTAGATAAAATGCAATATAAATTTTGAAATATTTACTAGTTTTTTTTACAATTGAGTACCTTAATAAATGACCTATATGTATTGCTTACATGAAGATCTAAGAAGTTAGAACTTAAACTAAACTGTGAAGAAAATAAAAGTCATAAAAATAGACCCTTCAAACTCGCAAGGATTTTAAAACAAGTGAATTTTAAGTTATCTACCTTTGTCAACAAACAAAAATTATGTATAAATAAATACAGGCCATCAGTAAACAAAATTTTTTATTAAAGCAGCTTCTACATGAATAAACTGTTGACACAGAGATATGTCTGGCCTGTCAGCATAAAATTCAGAAAAAGACAATCGAATGGACAGCAACATTGCTTATTAATTCAAAGTTGCTAGACCATGATCTAGTGGGCAGGGCCTGAAAATGGTCGTCAAACTGAGATGTACAGAGAGTAATGTAACTTTATAGAAAATATTGTTGTCTATTGTAAGTAGTTCCTATCAATTTAACTTAGCAGAAAACTTAATATTGAAAATTGCTAATTAATTCAAAGTCACTGGACCGTGTCCTAGGGGGCAGGGCCTCAAAATAGTTGTCAAACTGATATCTTCTGATAGTAATGCAACTTTATATCAAATATCAATGATGTATCACAAGTAGTTCTTATCAAACTAACTTATTAATTCAAAGTCACTGGACCATGACTTAGGGGGCAGGGCCTCGAAATAGTCGTCACACTGATATGTACAGATAGTAATGCGACTTCATAATAAATATCAATGATCTATCACAAGTAGTTCCTATCAAACTAACTTAAGCAGAAAACTTAACAATTGTTGACGCCGGATCCAGAGCTGTTGTCACTGGAAAGCAATCCCTATGTCTTGCTTTCAGTGACTTTTGTTGCAGGCGAGACAAAAACAAAATAATTAAATTCACATAGCCTTCAATGTTTTGATGATGTTGTCATGAAGGAATAAACTATTGTGAAACTATGTAATGATTTTCATTGTAGTTTTGTTGTGGCCAAAATATGATTTCTCATGTTAACAAAGACAGATCAGACATTATCATGTCTTACACAAGATTGTCAAGATTCATATTAGCCTCATATATAACATGTTTAATACTGGATCATCACTTTTCATAAAAAATAGGGAATGTGTCCATTGGACACAGATGATGCCCCTGCTTGCATATCATATAAATTTATAAAGGGACATAAACTGAAGAACGGTTTAAGTGATGCTACCCAAATTTGTACTTGATCTGAGTTTTGTGGTAATAAGTATTGTGTATAAGTTTCATAACATTTGGTTGAGGCAAACTTAAGTTAGAGAACGGAAACGAAAAATTCAGCAATTTTTCCATTTGTAAAGGGGCATAACTCTAGAACGGTTAAAGTGACACCACCAAAATTCAAACTTGATCTGTATTTTGTGGTAATAAGCATTGTGTATAAGTTTCATAACATTTAGTTGAGGCAAACTAAAGTTAGATAACGGAAACGAAACATTCAGCAAATTTGTTCATTTGTAAAGGGGCATAACTCTAGAATGGTTAAAGTGACGCCACCAAAATTCAAACTTGATCTGTGTTTTGTGGTAATAAGCATTTTGTATAAGTTTCATAACATTTGGTTGAGGCAAACTAAAGTTAAAGAACGGAAACCAACTTTGGGACGTACGTACGGACAAGGGTAAAACTTAATGTCCCCTCCGCTATGGAGGGGGCATAAAAAACTAAATACTCATACAGCTTAAAAAATTCCATGCCTACTGAACATATTTGAAGTATGCAAATAAATTAAGAGCTTGTACTTTTTTTTTAACATATCTAAATGAAATATTTCTTAAAAGTAGAATACAAACAAAAAAAGGCCTGAATTTTTTTTGACAGCTCCAAGTAATATATTCCCTGTAACAAATTAATTTTCATGAACAACATATTATAACCATGCAAGGATTTTATGAGCATTCATGCAACAACAGTCATTTGAAGTGATAAACTATAGTGTGCCATCAGTTCTGAAGCAGGAAACAGAATTCTATAATTTAATAAGCAAAAGCTTCCAACATCTTCACACATTTTCTAAAACAGAAAAACATTTTACCAGAAAAACTGATCCATTCATGTACTAGCATGATGCAAGAGCTTACCAATTGACTGCTGAACTTACTTGATTTTTTGCCTTTTCTTTCTTTTTCACACTGTTCTTTAAATTTAGATAGTTTTTGAGGATCAACTTTCCATTCGTCATCTTTCTTCTCTGCGTAATACACATATTAAATATCACTATACTGTGTTGGATATGGAAATAGTGGATAAACCACATAAATTTGGGAAAATGATTCAAAATGGCATCTCCCTCTACACAATGTCCTGTCCAATCTGGGTTTTAATTTTGTTCTTACCATTAATTTCCTCTTATGCTGTTGTGTCTTTTGTCACTTCAAACAAAGACCATCATTTTCCTAAATTTTCTGTGTGACTTCAAATTAGATGGTTTTTTTCAAAAAGAATAAATCATTAATTTAATGAATTTTACCTTTTGATGTTTACTGAATAATGAAAAATGAAGGAAAATGATAAGATTAATCACAAAATCAAACAGGAAATTAGAAATCAACAAATTCAGAAGCTGAGAAAAACTAACAAATAGAATGTAACCAATAACTCAAATTGAAAGTGTAAATGTTTGTCTTTTTTAAAGTAACCTTTTTCTCAATGATATGAAAAAATAATGGCATTCAATGTGGGGAAAGTCACTTTCATTTTCACTATCACAAGTTCCATACAAGTGTATTTCACCCTTGCCATTCCATCTTACGAGCCAGTTTCCAGTTTCCCATTCATGTAATCAGTACATCCTACTTCAAACACTTCTTATATTACAGTTTCCTTAAACTTTAAAGACCATTAAAAAACAAGAGTATGAAAAAAAATACTTTATGTAGTAAGCTTTAAATCTAAAATTGACATAAAGACAACAAAATGAAAAGTATTAACCACTAGAACTTTTAAAGACAATGTTTTTCTCAGTTTCCACAGTATCTGAATACAACAAACTATTCTATCACAAATAAAAAAGAACATATTAGAAGCCAGTCAAGAAACCTACCCCATTCTGGTCCATCACCATGACTACGTGTCTCACCAGCGCCATCTTCATTTTCAGCAACAAGGAAATCAAATTCTCTAAGAGCTTCTTCTGTTTCTTCATCACCAGCAATAATACCATCAACCTATGCCAAAGGAAAATCAAATTCTTATCTTAATACAAATTAAATTCTCAATAATACCATCAATGTAAGTCAAAGAACATTCAAATACTTATCTCAAAACAAATTTGCCACAACAGCCCTCAATTTAGTCTACTGAAATGGTCGCCTGGGCGACTTTAAAAGCTGCTTGGCGACCAAAAATTCATAACTGGTCGCCATTTAGGCTATTAGAAAATTGAAAATCTGGCGACCGTAAATTTTGGTAAATTTTGCCCTGATCAGTCGGGTTTTTAAAAAATCTTTTAGATTTAAGCTTGATCATGTCAGTGCTTTATTGCACAAGTAATTGTAGTTTCTTTGTAAGCAATTTATTGTCGTTGATTGAAAATGGCACAGTAACTATGTATTTCCGCACTCAGTCACAACTTTGACTATTACGTGCCGTTAGAAAGAAAACCATTGGAATTTATAGATTGTGTTTATTGAAAGCACATGGTCGAGCCTCATTCTCGTTCGATTTTGTAACTTGTTCTCTTAGATTTAATAAAATACCGGCTACAATTTCGCAAACGATTTCAAATGTTCACTTGACAGATCGGGCAACCACCAGTGCTTCTAAGCACAAGTCCGATGAGATTTTTACTAGACTGGGGCTTTGGGCTACCGCTTAACGTTGCAGACTGTTTTAAAACATGTACAATGAATATAAAATTAAATAAACTGTTATCACAGAGATATGTCTCGCCTTTTTGTAATTTTGATAATGCAAATGTTGAAATTAAAATAGCAATACTTTAACATGTAAGTTATGCAAATATTCAAAGTCGATGGATCATGACTGAAGGTACATGGCTAAACAATCTCCATGGAATGAGATGTGCCAATGCTAATACAACTGCATACCAAATACCATTGACTTTTCATATTCGTTATCTTTAAACAAACCTTAACACAAACATTAACTTGTAAACTATGTAAAAGTTTCAAAGTCAATGTACCATAATGAGGGGTTGGGGTTATATAATCTCCATGGAAACGATACTTGCAAATGCCAATAAATTTGCATACCAAATATAATTGACTTAACATTAGCAGTTCATCTTAAACTGATCTAATCACAAACTAATACATGTAAACTAAGCAAAAGTTTCAAAGTAAATAGACCATGACTGAGGGGCGGGGCCAAATATTCTCCATGGAAATGAGATATGCCAATGCTTATACAACTGCATACCAAATATCATTGACCTACCAGTAGTGGTTCCCCATAAATTGACCTAATCACAAACTAATACATGTTAACTATGAAAAGTTTCAAAGTCAATAGACCTTGACTGAGGGGGCGGGACCAAATAATCTCCATGGTAATGAGATGTACCAATGCTAATACAACTGCATACCAAATATCATTGACCTACCACTTGTGGTTCACCGTGAACTAGACCTAATCACAAACTAATACATTGTTGACACTGTCGCCAACGCCGGAAACAGCATACCTATGTCTCGCTTTTTGACTCTGTCAAGGCGAGACAATAAATCATGTGGTCATTTTACAGTTGATTTTATACAAACTATTTTCTACACTCGACAGCATAAAAACACAGAACAAAAACTTAATACTTTTATTTCATAAGGGTTGCTTAACTAGAAAAACTAGAGGCTCTCAAGAACCTGTGTCGCTCACCTGTATTTACTGATGCTTTGGAAATCATGCAAAATAAGGTTTAAATCATAATTTATAGTATTAGTTATTAGATATTATAATGATATCTAAGATAATAACAAAAAACTGAAATTTTTTTTGTAAAATTACTAACTCTGGGGCAGCAACCCAACAATGGGTTGTCAGATTCGTCTGAAAATTTCAGGGCAGATAAATCTAAATCTGATGAACATTTTTGCCCCCTGTCAGATTTGCTCTAAATGCTTTAGTTTCAGAGATATAAACCAAAAACTGCATTTTACCCCTATGTTCTATTTTTAACCAAGTCGTTCATGATGGTTGGAAGACAAATTTTTTAAAAACTAGATACCCTAATAATGATTATGGCCAAGTATGGTTAAATTTGCCTCAGTAGTTTAAGAGAAGAAGATTTTTGTAAAAGATTACAAAAATTTACGAAAAATGGTTAAAAATTGACTATTAAGGGCAATAACTCCTAAAGGGGTCGACTGACAATTTTGGTCATGACAACTTATTTGTAGATCTTACTTTGCTGAACATTATTTCTGTTTACAGTTTATCTCTATCTATAATAATATTCAAGATAATAACCAATAAAATGCTCCGCTGGGCGCAGCTTGATACGACCGCAGAGGTCGAACCCTGAACAGTTGGGGCAAGTATGGACACAACATTCAAGCTTGATACAGCTTTGCATTTGGATTGTGATTAAATATTTGACACAGCATAGGTTTCTGACACAGAATGAATGTGGTCTAAGAACTTAAAAATTTTAAATTGGACATTCACCTATTATGGTCCAATATCCAAAATCTAAATACATGGTTAGATTCAGCATATCAAAGAACCCCAAGAATTCAATTTTTGATGAAATCAAACAAAGTTTAATTTTGGACCCTTTTGACCTCAATGTGGACAAAGTTGATAATGGGGCCCAAAAATCAAAAATCTAAATACATGGTTAGATTCAGCATATCAAAGAACCCCATATATTCAATTTTTGTTGAAATCAAACAAAGTTTAATTTTGGACCCTTTGGACCTTAATGTAGACCAATTTGAAAACGGAACCAAAAATTAAGAATCTAAATACACGGTTAGATTCGGCATATCAAAGAACCCCAATAATTCAATTTTTGATGAAATCAAACAAAGTTTAATTTTGGACCCTTTGGACCTTAATGTAGACCAATTTGAAAACGGAACCAAAAATTAAGAATCTAAATACACGGTTAGATTCGGCATATCAAAGAACCCCAATAATTCAATTTTTGATGAAATCAAACAAAGTTTAATTTTGGACCCTTTGGACCTCAATGTGGACCAATTTAAAAACGGGGCCCAAAATCCAAAAACTTAATACACGGTTAGATTCAGCATATTAAAGAACCCCAAGAATTCAAGAATAAAACCCCATTGAAATTGGTCAAGAAATAAGCAATTTATACGAAGTATCTTCTTTTGCACAATACTGTGCAATTAAATATTTCTTGCTATTGCGCAATACTGTACAATTGACAATTTCTTGCTATTGCGCAATATTGTGCTATTGGATATTTCTTGCTATTGCGCAATACTGTGCAATTGAAGATTTCTTGCTATTGCGCAATACTGTGCAATTGAAGATTTCTTGCTATTGTGCAATACTGTGCAATTGAAAATTTCTTGCTATTGCACAATACTTATTATATAATAATTTACACATCCTGTTTGGTGTGTATCTCCTACCATATCATTATTATTTGCTTTTAAATATAAATCAGAAATAACCAACTTAAAATGGAAAATTTTAAAAGAAAAAAAAAAGGAAAAAAAGAAAAAAAAGGAAAAAAAGAAAAAAAAGGAAAAAAAAAAAATCCACCCCCCCAAATTTTTTGAACCCCCTTGTGATTCATCACCCCCAAACTCAATCCCAGCCTTCCCTTTGTGGTATGGTACTTTGCAGTACAATTTCAGAGAGATCCATACACTTGAACACAAGTTATTGTCTGGAAACTATAAAAATGTGTTTTTTTCCCCTTTTTGGCCCCAAATTCCTAAACGTCTAGGGCAATTACCCCCAAACTCAAACCCAGCTTTCCCTTTGTGATATGGAACCTTGTAGTACAATTACAGAATGATCCATACACTTACACACAAGTTATTGTCCTGAAACTAGAAAAATTCGTAAGGGTTCCGCGGAACCCAGTGTCTCGCCTACTTTTTCTGTTAATCGCAGACTCAACAAAAATGAGGAAGTAAATCAATAAAAATATTCCTCTTGATACTATCTTTTGATTGTAAGAAGCTTCTGTCCAAGTTTGGTAAAATTCCAGGATAGTTTATGATTTAAAATAACTGTTTAAAACTTTAACTGCAGACTGAATGTAATGTTAACTGGAAGAAAACAAAATTTCCTTCTAGATACTAGCATTTGATCATAAACAAGCTTCTGTCCAAGTTTGGTACAAATCCAAAATAGTATAAGAAAGTTATTAAAATTTTAAAACTTTAACCACAAAGTGAATATGTTGTTTCCTGGCAGAAAATCTAAGTCCATTTAAAAGTAAAATACGGAAAAAATGGATTATTTTTTTTACAAAATTTCCTTCTAGATACTAGCTTTTGATCATAAACAAGCTTCTGCCCAAGTTTGGTACAAATCCAAAATAGTATAAGAAAGTTATTAAAATTTTAAAAACTTTAACCACAGAGTGAATGTGTTGTTTCCTGGCAGAAAATCTAAGTCCATTTAAAAGTAAAATAAGGAAAAAATGGATTTATTTTTTTACAAAATTTACTTCTAGATACTATCTAATAATCATAAACAAGCTTCTGTCCAAGTTTGGTACAAACCCAGGATAGTTTAAGAAAGTAATTAAAATTTTAAAAACTTTAACCACAGAGTGAATGTAATATTTACCGGCAGAAAAACTAAGTCCATTTATAAGTAAAATACGGAAAAAATGGAATTTTATTTTTACAAAATTTACTTCTGGATACTATCTTATGATCATAAACAAGCTTCTGTCCAAGTTTGGTAGAAATCCAGGATAGTTTAAGAAAGTTATTAAAATTTCAAAAACTTTAACCACAGAGTGAATATTTGTGGACGCCGCCGACGACGACGCCGACGGAATGTAGGATCGCTATGTCTCGCTTTTTCGACTAAAGTCGAAGGCTCGACAAAAATGCTTGTTTTTTGTCCCTTTTTGGCCCCTAATTCCTAAAATATTGAGGCAATTACCCCTATCATCAATCCCAGCCTTCCCTTTGTGGTATGGTACCTTGCAGTACAATTTCAGAGAGATCCATACACTTAAACACAAGTTATTGTCTGGAAACTAGAAAAATGCTTATTTTTGGCCCCTTTTTGGCCCCCAATTCCTAAACGTTTCAGCAATTACCCCCAAACTCAATTCCAGCTTTCCCTTTGTGATATGGAACCTTGTAGTACAATTTCAGAAAGATCCATACACTTACACACAAGTTATTGTCATGAAACTAGAAAAATGCTTGTTTTTTGTCCCTTTTTTGGCCCCTAATTCCTAAAATTTTGAGGCAATTACCCCCAAAATCAATCCCAGCATTCCTTTTGTGATATGGAACCTTGTGGTACAATGTCAGAGAGATCCATACACTAACACACAAGTTATGTCTTGAAGTTACAAAAATGCTTATTTTTGGCCCCTAATTCCTTTACTGTTGGTACCATAACCCCCAAAATCAATCCCAACCTTCCTTTTGTGGTATTGAACCTTGTGGTAAAATTTCATAGAGATCCATTCACTTAAACTAAAGTTAGAGTGCGAAAACCAATGTGTCTTCGGACGACGACGCCAACGTCATACCAATATACGACCACAAAATTTTTTTTGCGGTCGTATAAAAACTGCAAAATTTGTTTAAAATTACCAATTCAGGGGCAGCAACCCAACAACAGGTTGTCAGATTTGTCTGAAAATTTCAGGGCAGATAGATCTTGACCTGATAATCAGTTTTACCCTATGTCAGATTTACTCTAAATGGTTTGGTTTCAGAGATATAAGCCAAAATCTACATTTTACCCCTATGTTCTATTTTTAGCCATGGCGGCCATCTTGGTTGGTTGGCAGGGTCATCGGACACATTTTTTAAACTAGATACACTAATGATGATTGTGGCCAAGTTTGGTTAAATTTGGCCCAGTGGTTTCAGAGGAGAAGATTTTTGTAAAAGTTAACAGACGACGCCGGACGACGACGGATGCCAAGTGATGAGAAAAGCTCACTTGGCCCTTTGGGCCAGGTGAGCTTAAAATGTAGGCAACCTGAAATTATTTCCTGGCCACTGAAATTTTGAGTTGGCCACTAAATTTTCATGTCTGGTGGCCAATTGGCAACTTCATTTCAGAAGCTACTTTGAGGGCTGCACAATGAATTTCTATCTTCAAAAGGTAGTAACAAATTATTATTTAAGCAATTGAGATGAAAGGAAAGTTCAACTTCTGGGGGGGGATAGCTATTCTCTTTATTTTAATTATCAGAGGGTCACACAAGATTTTTTTTATAAACAAGAGTACTTTCTATCTAAATTGCACTTTGCAGTTTACTTAACCTTAAATTTTCTAAAACTTACACCAGGACCAGGCCTTTTTACAATTCTTCTTACTTCTCTTTTCTCGTCTGCTGCCATAATATCTTCTTCATCACTATGGAACAATACAATTATAAAAGTTTACTTATTGAACAACTATCTTTTCAAATACTGTACTCATGTATTTTTTTCAACACAAACATACTTTGCAATATAACTGAATGTTGGGATTTCCAATTCATATTCATCACAAGCAATTTTAACTATAATTACTTTTATTTTATCATTTGTAACTTAATTATAATTTGTCCGATTTCAATCAGTGTTCTTTCTTAACTATCTATTCTATAAAACACAAGGACTATGTTTAATTTTAAATGGCTAGACATTTCTAGAATATTGCAAAGCTGATCATCTGTTAAATATTTGACAACTCTTTTAATGTCTATCTCTTCTTGTCAGTTTTCTTGAGCAAATGACCACAATATTAAAATAAAATGCTTCGCTGGGGCGCAGCTTGATACGACCGCAGAGGTCGAACCCTGAACAGTTGGGGCAAGTATGGACACAACATGCAAGCTTGATACAGCTCTGAATTTGGATTGTTATTAAATATTTGACACAGCATAGGTTTCTGACACAGAAAGAATGTGGTCTAAGAACTTGAATTTTTTTAATTTACCTATTATGGTCCAATGTCCAAAATCAAAATACATGGTTAGATTCAGCATATCAAAGAACCCCATATATTCAATTTTTGTTAAAATCAAACAAAGTTTAATTTTGGACCCCAACTTGGACAAACTTGAAAACTGGGCCCATAATCAAAAATCTAAACACATGTTTAGATTCAGCATATCAAAGAACCCCAAGAATTCAATTTTTGCTAAAATCAAACTAAGTTTAATTTTGGACCCTTTGGACCTTAATGTAGACCAATTTAAAAAACGGGACTTGAAATTAAAAATCTAAATACACGGTTAGATTTGGAATATCAAAGAACCCCAATAATTCAATTTTTGATGAAATCAAACAAAGTTTAATTTTGGACCCTTTTGACCTCAATATGAACCAATTTGATAGCGGGGCCCACAAATAAAAAATATAAATTCATGGTTATATTCAGCATATCAAAGAACCCCATATATTCAATTTTTGTTGAAATCAAAACAAAGTTTAATTTTGGACCCCAACTTGGACCAACTTGAAAACTGGGCCCATAATCAAAAATCTAAACACATGTTTAGATTAAGCATATCAAAGAACCCCAAGAATTCAATTTTTGTTAAAATCAAACTAAGTTTAATTTTGGACCCTTTGGACCTCAATGAAGACCAATTTAAAAAACGGGACCCAAATTAAAAATCTAAAAACACGGTTAGATTTGGCATATCAAAGAACCCCAATAATTCAATTTTTGATGAAATCAAACAAAGTTTAATTTTGGACCCTTTTGACCTCAATATGAACCAATTTGATAGCGGGGCCCACAAATAAAAAATCTAAATACATGGTTAGATTCAGCATATCAAAGAACCTCATATATTCAATTTTTGTTGAAATCAAACAAAGTTTAATTTTGGACCCCAATTTGGACCAACTTGAAAACTGGGCCCATAATCAAAAATCTAAATACATGGTTAGATTCAGCATATCAAAGAACCTCATATATTAAATTTTTGTTGAAATCAAACAAAGTTTAATTTTGGACCCCAATTTGGACCAACTTGAAAACTGGGCCCATAATCAAAAATCTAAACACATGTTTAGATTCAGCATATCAAAGAACCCCAAGAATTCAATTCTTGTTAAAATCAAACTAAATTTAAATACACTGTTAGATTCGGCATAACAAATAAATAAATGTGATCAAAGATTTTACAAATCTAATGCACCATACTGTGCAATTAAAGATTACTTCTTGAAATTTTTCAATATTTGAAATTTGAAAAAAAAATAATATTTGAAGAATAATTCTTTTTAATTTCTGAAATCTGAAATGAGAAAAAAGTTTAATTTTGGACCCTTTGGACCTTAATGTAGACAAATTTAAAAAACAGGACCAAAAATTAAAATCTAAATACACGGTTAGATTTGGAATATCAAAGAACCCCAATACTTCAATTTTAGATGAAATCAAACAAAGTTTAATTTTGGACCCTTTTGACCTCAATATGAACCAATTTGATAACGGGGTCCACAAATAAAAAATCCAAATACATGGTTAGATTCAGCATATCAAAGAACCCCACATATTCAATTTTTGTTGAAATCAAACAAAGTTTAATTTTGGACCCCAATTTGGACCAACTTGAAAACTGGGCCAAAAAATCAAAAATCTAAATACATGTTTAGATTCAGCATATCAAAGAACCTCATATATTCAATTTTTGCTAAAATCAAACAAAGTTTAATTTTGGACCCTTTGGACCTTAATGTAGACCAATTTGAAAACTGGACCCAAAATTAAAAATTTAAATACACTGTTAGATTCGGCATAACAAATAAATAAATGTGATCAAAGATTTTACAAATCTAATGCACCATACTGTGCAATTAAAGATTACTTCTTGAAATTTTTCAATATTTGAAATTTGAAAAAAAAATAATATTTGAAGAATAATTCTTTTTAATTTCTGAAATCTGAAATGAGAAAAAATTGACCCCCCACAATTTCTTTTTATCCCCCCCCCCTTTTTTCCCCCAAAAAATTCTTTCCCTCAAGATATGGTCATAATCTCAATTCAAATTTCCAATGGAGTTGGCAACCATAATTACCCATTTAAATTTACCATAGTGCTAACTTAATCTATTTTATAATAGAATTAAAAATATACTGTCAAATCTTTCATATGGATTTTTTTGTAAAAAAAAAAGATGCAACATTTGCAGATATTTTTACTGGTCTTCCTTTATAGATATGCATTTCTTTAAACATAATTTAAAAGCAGTGTAAGGGAAGTAACCAAAATGTTGTATTTTGATTACCTCCCTTACACTGTTTTAAATTATCTTTATTGTTCATTAACCATTACTTTATACATAATTTAAAAGCAGTGTAAGGGAGATAATCTCAATGATGTATTTGATTTATCTCCCTTACACTGCTTTAAATTATGTTTTGTACAAAAGTATTTGTCCATTAACCAGGACAACCTTGTTTTTCCCCCTTTTTTGCCCCTAATTCCTAAACGGTTTGAGCCATAACCCCCCAAAGCAAATCCTAACCATCCCTTTGTGGTATGGAAACTTGTAGTATAATTTCAGAGAGATCCATACACCGTTCCACAGTTATTGTCTGGAAACTAGAAAATGCTTATTTTTGGCCCCTTTTTGGCCCCTAATTCCTTAACTGTTGGTACCATAACCCCCAAAATCAATCCCAACCTTCCTTTTGTGGTATTTAACCTTATGGTCAAATTTCAAAAAGATCCATTCACTTAAACTAAAGTTAGAGTGCGAAAACCAGTATGTCTTCGGACGACGACACCGGACGACGCCGGACGACAACGACGACGACGACGACGCCAACGTCATACCAATATACAACCACAAAATTTTTTTGCGGTCGTATAACCAGTATTATCCCTTAAGGATGTATTCTTTTTTTTTTGTTTCAGTCTCATTGAAATCTTATTCAGGATTTTTTTCCCAAACATGTGATACAGGGAAAAATATTAATGAATTTAAAAAATATTATAATCAAACTAAAATCTGTAAAAAAATTGTGTACTTACAATAAGTAGTTTTTGAGTAATAAAATTTTCAAAATTAACCAATCCGGTCTGACAAGTGTCATTAGCCAAAATGTTGAGAAAATGGGTGAGGGTTACAAAGAAATGATGTTACCAAAAATATGTACATCCGATATCAATTTTTTCTTTTCAAAATTCTTAAATATATGTATTTTTTCAATCATTTATAAGAAAGAAGTTGAAATGATATGCTTTTTGTTCTAAAAAAAGAGAAAAATCTCAAATTTACAAAATTGACAGCATGGTCAATTTGACAAGAAAAAAACGAACAAAATTTTATAACTCTTTCTAATATTAACACCAACCTATAGTTTTTTAAGGTTATATTTATTCGGGTTGGTTCACTTCCTCTTAAGTGAAAGTATGAAAAAAAGTTTAATTGTGAAACTGTGATTTTTTCATGTTGATAGCACAAAAATGGGAAAATCATTAAAAATGGGGTACTTTCAAATGGCCGTAGCAAAAAAAGAAGTGCACCACCATATAATTTTTTTTTATCATTTACTTTCTTACAGTCATATAAACCCAAAAATCAGGTTTAGAAAAACAGTCTAATTCTAGAAATTATTGGCTCCTCATCCTTAAGCTTTTTCTTCTATTTTTTTAGCAGATGCATAAAATAAGAACATTTATAGGTAAAAATCTTTTCATTCATCATGTACTTTAGGGCAATTTTTCTCTTCCTATTTCATCCATCAATCAGATTTTGGAGTGAAACAACTTATTGTCTCTTTAAATATCATCATTAATGCAAGTCAGGTCAAGGAACAATAAATGGGCTATGTCACAGATTTTGTTGAAAAATTTTGCATACAACTTTGGCTCCTTGAACTTAAACTGAAAACAAGCATTCTGAGAGTATTGCATGGCAATACATAGTCCCCTACCGGTTAAAAATTAATTGTACTGGAACAAAATGCTAACTTGATCTATAACTTGTCATGGTGTAAACTATATAACAAATATCAAGTCAATATCTTCAAGCATGACGAAAAAAGTGTGAAAAACTGATTATTTAAGTGAATTTTCTAACTCCAAGGACCATAACTCTGCACAAAATCATCAGACCGGAACAAAATTCGACCTTGGTCTGTAACTTGTCATGATAAAACTATATACCAATTATTAAATCAATATTTTCAAGCATGACGAAAAAAAAGTGTGGAAAACTGATTATTTGAGTGAATTTTCTAAGTCCAAGGACCATAACTCTACACAAAATAATCAGACCGGAACAAAATTCGAACTTGATTTGTAACTTGTCATGATTAAACAATATACCAAATATCAAATCAATATCTTCAAGCACGAATAAAAAAGTGTGGAAAACTGATTTGCCGGACTGACAGATGGACAGACA